TGCCTTCTGAATCTCCCTTTATATGTGCCTTGGATTATTGACTGCTCTCTTGCCAGAGTCAGACGGTCCTGGACTCAACTCCTACTCAGAATCGAGCACAAAAACAAGTTAACACTTCAGTGTATTACTAAGGACTGTCAGGGATATCATCTTTTGGATGCAAAAGATCCAATGTTACTACTTGAGGGGGAGCGGTATTTTATATTAGAGTCCTCAGCAATATTTAGGATGGAGTCATAAAATAAGACATCAGAAGCCATTTGGTCAATCATGCATGTACGGACTTTCTGATCACCACACCTCAAAATTAGATTTCCTACTCATTTAACTCACTGTGCGAAGCAAACTGGCCACTACATTTCCTTACATTATATCAACATCTACATTTAAAAGTACTTCATCAACCATTAAACCTTTCAGGTGTCCTGACATTGTGAAAGATGTCATTATAAATCTAAATTCCTTCTATTGCTTACAACCTTTTGACATCCTTTATTCCCTATGATTTAGATTAGCTTTTTTTTGGCCTTAATTTGATCATATAGCTTACTTTCAAATTCCAGTTTTATTTTAATCTATTTATGGCCAATAGGAATATATACATCTAGTTTTGTTTTTATCCATCTTGAAGATCCCCTACTGTCAGCAATACCCATATATTGAGAACAAATTTAAAAAGTGACATATATGTTAATTAATAAATAGAAACAAAAAGGCACCGCAAGTATGATAACCTGATTTATACATAAGTGGGTTGGTGAGCTTAAAAGGAATTAAAAAAAAAAAACAAACATTTCTCGGATTCTCAAATCCCAATTTCACAGTTCCACTCTTTTGACATCTGACAATGTTTGGAAGATGTAACTACATCCATCTCGTCACTTGCTAGCAGATCTCATTCTCTCTAAGCTGAAATGTCTTTGAACAGACACATTATGCACTGCCTCGTCTTGGAACCATATGGATAGAGGTACTTCTAGCTCGTGACATGGTTGAAGCATTTTGCCCGTTTAAAAAAACAGTAGTTGACAATCCTGCCAGAGGAGACCATTTGTATTTGCTACTACCTTAAGAATAAACTCTCTTTGAGGTATTACAGAAGATACTTGTGCTGCTACAAAGATCAGGCATCCTACCACCAAGAGATCAAAACAAAACTTCAATTTATATGGATAAAGAGATTTGCCTTCAATGTTTTTATTACAGTTCCAGTAAAAATCTAATATTTACATGGCACCTTTTTGTGTCCTTGGATTCGGTCATGATGCTTTACAATCAATAAATCCATGTGAATTTAGCAGTTTTTTTAAATTCACTTGTGCAATGCAGGCATCACTGGCTGGCCAACATTTATTGTCTATCACTTGAAGATGATATGAGCTTTTTCTTGAACCGCTGCAATCCACGTGCTGTAGGTAGGCCAACAATGCCCGTTGGAGAGGGAATTCCAAGATTTTAACCCAGTTACAGTGAAGGAACAGTGAAATATTTTCAAGTCAGGATGGTGAGTGGCTTGAAGGGTAACTTGCAAGTGATATTCCCACATATCTGCTGCCCATGTCCGTCTAGATGAGAGTTTCGTAAGTCAAATTAAAGCTGTCCTTTATGGGATGAATTTCAGTCAAAATCTCCCAACTGCTGCTGTTCAAATAACATTGTTTTGAATATTCCTGAAGCACCAGAGAGACAACAGTTCTATTTAACACATGATTTGCATGACAGTATCTGCCAACATTGCAACACGCTAAGAAGCAGACTTGGGCTATTCACCCTACCCATGCCCATGATTTTATAAACCTCCATAGGTCACTCCTCAGTATCAACACTCCAGCGGAAAAAGCCACAGTCTATTCAGCTTCTCAACATAGTTCAGACTCTCCAGTCCCAGCAACATCCTTTATAAATCTTTTCTGTACCCTCTCAAGTTTGACAACATCCTTCCCACAGAAGGGCAACCAGAATTCTGTGGAGAGGAAAGCAGAGTTAACGTTTTGGGTCCAGTGACCCTAATACAGAACTGGATCCAAAACATTAATTTTGCTTTCTCTTTACAGATGCTGCAAGACCTGCTGAGTTTTTCCAGCAATCTCGGTTTTTGTTTCTCATTTCCAACATCCGCAGTTTTTTTTTCTTTTTTTTTGCAATTTACAGACCAATTATGCCTGTCCTAGGCATTTTCAGTCATTAGGCTTGGGACAATTATGTCTAAAAATAAAGCAAATGCAGCAGTGATATGTCAGCAGCAATTCTGGCTCAAAGTAAGATGAGCATTCGGGGTAATCTATCAGAAAATGAACTATCGGCTGATGAGTACAGGCTAATTAATAGATGTGGAGATAAGGAAATCAGTTCACATTGTATCCATCTACCTGCCTTACTGTACCTCACCTGGGAATGCTTAATGGAGGGAGGGGTGGACAGTGAGTAGTGAGGGGCAAACTCTCTCAACGAGGAGAATTCGTTGTAAGGGGGCGGCGCATGTCATTCGCTTCCAATAAAATGCTCACACGTTAAATTAGACGCCCGAAATTTCTAGCCCACAAACAGGTACAGAACTAGCCGGTTCCTTCTACACGGCCTGGTTGTCACAAATTCAGAGGTGGCTGCAGTTGCTGTTAATGTTTTGTTGCCATTCTTTGGAGCTGGGATTGACAAATCGAAGTTGGATATTTCCTCCCCCGTGGTTCACACAAGCAGACTGCAGCTGCACGCGATTAAATTGACTGCTCAGCCTACCTGGCCTTTGCTGCAGGAATTTCCCTTTAAGCTGTCGGTCAAACCTCTCCCTAACGCTCAGCAACCAGATGACGTACTAGCGCCCGCCCACCCGCCTGGGAACATCACTACGGGAAGCGGAAAGGCTGGCCCGCCGTGGAATTGATTGACGGCACACTCAGTCAATCAACTGCCAAACACGCCGCCAAGCCACCAATGACAATGGCTAAAAGGCGGGCTTTCACCGCCGGCTTCTCGGTAATATGCGGCTGTTGTCGCGGGAGGTTAACGTCAGCGCCATGGTGATGCGAGCCCAAGTCACTGTCAATCATTGGTAGAGGAAATACGCCATCGCAAGGTACACGTGATGAGAATATTCGCAATTTGATTGCGTTTACTTTCCGTGCCTGCTATGATGATCAGTTCCATATAACAGAGGCGAGAGAACTGGTAGACTGCTAATGGTTCAATGCTTTTCTACTTATACGCTCCAACAACATTCCTTTTGGGTTCCAATTTATTAGTGCTAACTTTCTATAATTCATATACAAGGACATCCAGATTCCTCTGCATTGGAATGTTTTTCAAGACCTCACTCCATTTAAATAATATTCAGCTGTTCTGTTCTGCCTGCCAAAGTGTCTAACCTCACATTTTCCCACATTATAATCCAGCTGCCTTATTTTTACCACTTGCCCAATTTATGTCAACAGAAACAGGAAGTGCTGGAAGAAAGTTTAGCCTGGCAGCACCTGTGGAAAGAAAAACAGTTGATGTTTTGAATCCAGTGACTACGTCAGTACGGAAAACAGCTGGGAAATGGTGGTAGTGTTTAGGGTGAGGAAGGGAGTGGGGGATTGTAAGGCTAATGGGAATGCTGAATGAGTGCTACTGGGAATTCTGAATAGTTGAAAGTAGATTGACTGTGCTGGGGACAACCTATGTAGAACAGAACCCTGGGGGTATATGAGTGGGTAATTAAGATGGAGGAAGGTGTTCACACTCTGAAATTATTAATGTTGATAATGAGGCCTGAGGCCTGAGGCCTGTAAGGTACCTAGGCTAAAACTGAGATTTTGTTCCTCCAACTTGCATCAAGCTTCACTGGAGCACTACACTAGTCCCAAGATAGAAATACTGGCATGGGAACGTAATGAGGCCTGTCTAAGCTCATTCACACTTTGAGCAGCTTCTTTTAACTTCTGTCACTTTCTTCATTTCAAAGGTGTGACTGTGTACCCACATGGGCCCCCATTAAGGCATCTCTTGTGTGTGATGTAGGAGATTTCTTATTCCAGTCCTACTTGGTCCCTCCCAACAACTCTTAATAATCAATAACATCATTGGTGCTGCTTCCCTCAAATGTCCGGTGTAGTGATTGTAATGAAGTCAGCCAGGTGGACCTCCTAGAATATGTGTTCCCTGATTGGGGCTGTTAATCTGGTCCAATTAGGGAGCCCTGGCTGACATATAAACCGGAGTGTCAGACATCCTGCTAAATCTGAGAGCTGACTCTGGGGAAGCTGGATCAGTGTCAAGGACTTTCCATGTGTAAATAAAATGTGACTTAGTGACAGGATATCAACCTCTGTGGAATTGTTTCGTCTTGTAGTTGGTTGGCTTGCCAAGCTGGTTCGTTGTTTCGCAGACGTTTTGTTACCATGCTGGGTAACATCATCAGTGCAGCCTCCGATGAAATGCCATTGTGTTTTCCCGCCTGTTATTTAAACTCTGGAGTCCGCTGAGCCGGATTACGTCACTTCCGGTTTTCCTTCACAGTGGACTGTATATGGGGTTGAGCTCTGTGTTTGTTGATGGCTTTCTTCGTGGAGTACCAGGCTTCTAGGAATTCCCGTACTATCATTCTGCTGGGACTGTTCCGTCTGAGACACTCTGGTCTACTTCTCCTCCATTCCCAACACCACCTTACACCCTCCACAGCACCTTGCCATACAAGAAGGTGCAACACTTGTCCATTTACCTTCTCCCTCTCTCTACCCAAGGCCCCAGGCACACCTTCCAGGTGAAGCAGCGATTTACTTGCACTTCATTCAATCTTGTCTACTGTATTTGCTGCTCATTATGTGGCCCCTTTGACACTTGGGGAGCTGTACACAAGCTGGAGGAATGACACCTCATCTTCCGCCTAGGTGCCTTATAACCTTTAGGACTCAATATTGAGTTTAACAATTTCAGAGCATGAACACCATCCCTGTTCATTACCCATTCCAACACTCCCAGGTCCTATCCAGTATGTGTTCCTCCCAACACAGCCAACCCATTTTCAACTATTCAAACTTGCTGTTAGCATTGATTCAGCATTTATCTCTCACCTTGCTTACCATCAGCAATCCCTTTGTTTCTCCTTTCTCTCTTTCTCTTTCTGAGCACCATCTCCTCTCCACACCCGTTCCACCCCAGCCACCATCATCAGCATAATTAGCACCATTACCCAGTTGCCTTCAGTTCTCAGTAAGAGTCATTGGACTCGAAATGTTAGCTCTGTCTTTTATCGTGCACTGATGCTGCTAGACCCATTGAGTTTCTCCAGCAATTTCTATATTTGTTTCAGATTTCCAACATCTGCATTTCTTTTTTCATATTATTGTCCTACTTACATCCCTGTGAGTTCTCCTTGTATCCTCCTCACAACTTGTTTTCTTACCTATCTTAGTATCCTCACAAAATTTGCTTAGAATCATAGAATCCCTACAGCGCAGAAGCAGTCATTCGACCCATTGAGTCTACATTGTCCCTCCAAAGAACGTCCCACCTGGACCCAGCCCCCAACCCTATCCCTGTAAATCCACATTTCTCATGGCTAATCCACCTAGCCTGCACATCCCTCGATACTATAGGCAATTTAGCATAGCCAATCCACCTAACTGCACATCTTTGGACTTGCTTGCATCATTGCTTGCAATGCAGTCAATCTCTTCATCTGCATCATTACTATAGCTCGTAAATGACTGAGTGGCCCAGCACTGATTCCCTGAAACCCTCCAATTGTTACAGTTTCCCAACTTAAAATGACTTTTTTATCCCCACCCTCTGTTTCCTGTTCATTAGCCAATTTCTTATTTCTTGAAGCAGTGCAGATTTAAGACATTGTATAGTTGACTGGGTGAGTGGTGGAGGAATGGAATATTAGAGGAATGGGCTGCATTGTCTTAATTATTCTTTTGTGCTTTCCCAGCTTCAGCTGCTTCAGGCTTATGCACAGATTCTGAGGGACAACTTAGATGATGGGGCTTTAATAGGAGATGCTTAAGGGTTTCCTCCCACAGTCCAAAATTGTGCAAGTTAGGTGTATTGGCCATGGTAAATTGTCCTGTAATATCCAGGATGTGCAGGTTAAGTGGATTAGTCATAGTAAATGTAGTGTTATAGGGATAGTGCAGGGGTGCCCTCTGGAGGGTCAGTGCAGATTCAATGGGCCACGTGGCCTCTTTCCGCACTGGAGGGATTTTATGATGATTCTTCTATGAACTTCATGAAGAAGTAGTGGGGATGAATTTTAAATGTGTGAACTTGTAAGAGATTGGTTATCATTGAGTGCCCAGGCTATTTTAGTTTTTAAGCCTAAGTTTAATGCTGCTGGTCTCCCTGTGAACAGTCTGCAGGGGGAAGTGTGTGAATGCAGAGGTCCTTGACATGTTTTGTCACTTTGTATGCGCAGTGTAATAGTGTCATATTGTCTGCTTGTGATAATATGCATGCATGATGAACAAGGCCATATATTTGACGTGATGTTGCTAAGAATGGGATGATTGTGCTATTGCTGCAGCATTGAGATAGCTGAGCCAACAGGAGGTTGAAGCTCCTGTTGAAGCTTGACTGTCCTGGTCACCAATCAAGCAACAGTCGGACTATTTTAGTCCAGAGAAGTTGTGGGAGAAGGTATAGCCAAAGAATAAGAAAAAGATAGTTTATGCAAAGCAATATAATGGATACTTAACTAGGTTGAAGGGTGTGTTCTCAAGTAGAATATGTGACATGTGCAGACTTTCAATGAATAATAAATGGTAGTTTGTGTCTTATTGTTGTTTGAATGAAGTAATGCTCTTGCGCAAATTGTAGGATTGGATGAAGAAGTGTGGATTTCAGGTTGCGGGAGGTATTCTAAATCTTCACAGCTGTAAGGAGCTTCTGAATCTTAAGGCTACAAAATCTACTTGTCATTTTCTACATGTCAAAAACAAAGTCATGAACTGTAATAATTCTCCCTGTCCCTCCCCAAAAATTAGGTGTGGTATCAGACTGGATAAACAAATAAAGCAATGAAGTAATTTAGTGTGTTTGCCTGCAATCATGAAGAGTTCAATCTTTTCTTTAATATCCGGAAGGTTTTAGAGCAACTTAGCTAAACTAATTGACTTGAGCAAAGTGTTGTTTGAAAGGAAAGAACCAAAAAGTGACACATTGCACGGCGATCCGCTGAAACCATCTTCCAAACTAGCGAGTGCAAGACTGCGACTTTTGGGTTATCACTGCTGATGTACTTTACTATTTGTCTGCAGCCCTGGGCCATGGAAAGGACGCAAAGATACCTATCCGTGTCATGTTACATTTAACTGGTTAAAAGAGAACTCAATGTCAATTTATCAGCCAATCACATGACAGTTACTTACAGGGTTGCTGAAACCTCCGAAATGGATGGTCAGTGCAAGTTAAAGGTCTTTCAAAATTATGCAAAATAAAGGCATTCAGAGCAGGGTACATGCAAAAGATGGATGCTTCTTTCTTAAAAGTAACACGCTCGGTATATGAAGTTCTCTTTTACTGAGGAAAGGATACTGAAAAAACCTTTAGAAAAACTTTACAAAAATGACAAGTCCCCAGAGCCTGATGGACTTCATCCCAGGATCTTCATACAAGTGACTCCTGAGATAGTAGGTGCATTCATTGTAATTTTCCAAACTTCCCTAGATTCTGGGAAGATCTCATCAGATTGGAAAATAACAAATGTAACTCCTCTTGTCAAGAAAGGAAACTATAGGGTGCTTAGCCAACATCTGTCATTGTGAAAATACCAGAAACTATTATTAAGGAAATTATAGCAGAGCACTTAGAAAATCATAATGAAGTCAAAAAGGAAAAGGAAACATAGGTTTAAGAACTGAAATCAGACAAGGCCCTTGAAGAGAGGA